TCAGAAGGCAGAAGAGAGAAGAAAAGGAAGAGCACGGCCCAGAGCCTTTACTGGGTTGTGGGAGGGAATGGGAGAGGAGGGTAGGTACCTTGAATAAGCTTAGGATTGGATAGTTTGAATAATTTCAGCAGAATCTTAGCTGTAGAGGAGATCCCTAGTTGTTCAGCACTTGGCCCTGGGATGATTTAGAGCAGGGAGAATATTGGCTTGGTTGAGAGTTTGATAAAGGAGATGGTTATGGGTGTTGGTCCTGGCTTGGTGGTTTGTACAGTGAAGGTGTACTCACAGGGGATTTGTTTGCTATCTCCAGGAATTAACAAGCCCTGTGAGAAGAAGACTCTCCAGGATCAAAACCCAAATGCCAGAATATCAAAAATACAAAAAATAGGGTTGGGGGTTATAGCTCAGTGGAAGAGCATGTGTTTAGCATACAGCAGGGCCTGGGTTCAATCCTTTGGGGAAAAAAATACAAGGGCAAAAAATTTTTTTAAGGATAATGTAATCGAAACGAAAATATTCTACAAATCAGACAATGCCTGAATACTTTACCACCAACCCCTGGCTTCTTGGCTCCATATCATCATTTATATGATGGAGAATCTAAAATTTATGACATCTGTCTTTCCTCTTTTGTTCACCACAGATTTGTAATCTCCATACCAACTTTTGGCCTTCTCCTTCACCTCCAGCACGTGGAGGGAAATATTTTCCTACTCTAGATTCTCATTGGCATAGCCAACTTTGCAGGCAATTTTGTTACATTTTTTGCATTGAATCACCTGGGCCGAAGAGTCAGCCAAATACTTTTCATTCTCCTGCTGGCAATCCCCATTCTGGCCCAGACTTTCATACCTCAAGGTGAGAAATTAACACAGGGTGAAAACAGGTTTCTCAGCATCCCTCAAGAATTGTAAGGGTCACACCTACATAAAGTCAGAAGGAAAGAATGAATTGTGTTCTAAGGATTCCCTGAAACCTAGCTATGGAGTTAGTATAGCTTCTGCCCTTATGTTGCTGGTAACAAAAAACTGTCAGGGAGGAAGAAATTTTCCTCTACCCTTCTAAGTTCTTCTGGCTGATCTAAGAAGTCAAGTGACATGAGACAGTTTGACAGGAGAAAATTAACCAAAGTTTAATATACACCTAAGAGAACTGAGTAGCTCGCCAGATGATGGAAGCCCTCACTTTAAATACCATTTCCAACTAAAAACAGAAGAGGAAAAGAGGTTGTTGGGGAGTAGTGGTTTGGGACTTCAAAGGGGAGGAAGGCAATTCACCTGGAGATGGAAAAGCAAATGTTTGGTAAAGAAATGTTTGCTGGGCCGGGCAGAGACAATGGGACATAGAGTGCATGGTGATCTCTAGGCCCTGCCAAGTTTCCCCCAGCACACCTAGCCCATGTTCTTTACAGACACCCCTGGTGTTAACTCTGTTACAGGAACAGGCCCTTTACCTAAGTTCTTTAGTCAGCTAAGGTGGTGGTAAACAGAAAGACTTCCTGAATCTTCTGTATTTTAAAAATCATCAGCCTAAATTAATCTTCATGCCAAATAGACACATTTTGGGGTGAACATTTCATTCCCTTACAGAATCAAAGGTGATAAAGGTCAGCTCAGACGTATGGTTGTATTCATCACATCTGAGAAGTATCTGGAAATAATCTATGATTGGCAGTTCTCTAGGACAACCATTGACCACTTACCTTTGGCCAATCACACTTTATACATAACAAGCATGGAGGGTCTTGACCTTGAAATTATATCCCTTGTGAGGACACAATACTGTCACTTCCTCTGTCTGGGCTCTTTCTTAGTACTAGAGCTTCATTGACAATTTATTCTCAATCTCTACATATCCACTTGTATTTCTCATATCAGGTTCCCATAAGTGCAGCTCTGGTTTAGAGGTATCACCTTGACTTCAAGAAAATAAAAATGCCTTGACTTCAAACAGAGAGGTATACAGTAGGAACAAAGCATTAAGCAGTTATGAGCTTGACTTAGAACCTATTTTACTAAATTGAATGATCATATGGAATGAATAGGGGAACCCAGGTGGTCACCATATTTCACCTAACTCCCACTGCAGCTATGCATTTTACAGGATCCCAGATTCGTGGACTCCACTCCCCGATCTTGAATATCAGCAACAATGCAAGTTTGCTACTTTGCAGCAGATCCCATTCCAGTGTTGTAACACTCATAATGGAATTTCTTTTCAGGGAAGGATAGGTAGAGGTAGAAAACTGACTCTCTGAAACTTCCCTTCAGTTGTTTTCAAAGTCAGACCTTTTTCCCAATAGATGTTTTTATATTTGATTATTGAAACAATGTTCTAGATCAAGCTACTCTCCAGCTTATTCATTAACACAGGAGTCCTGTCCTTTTATTAATCTCTTCTGCAATACTAGCCCAGTGTCAACATTGTGTGAGCTCCTAGGTTTTACTCTCTCGAGACATAGATAATTCTTACACCCCTCAGTTATTACTCACATAACAGTCTTATATTCTACCTGAAGGGCAGAGAAGACACTGGACAGAATAAATTAAAGCAAATCCTGCTGGTCTTACCTTCCCTCTCCTTTTCTGCAAATCTCAGCTATTCAGGGAGAGTTGATGAAATGACTCAGAACCTTTTAGTCACTATAAGCCATAAAATGTAGTTAAGTCACATTTCTCAGCTTATTAGACACTGCACATTTTCTCCCTCTGTGCAGTTTCTCTACAATGTATTTATTCTTGTGAACTCCTCCAGTAGGATCTTCTTCATTTGTAATTATGAGGGTGCTAATTCCTGAGCCTCTCTTGTCTCCTTCTCTCCAGAAATGCAGACCCTGTTTATGGTTTTGACAGTTTTGGCAGTAGGAGGTTCTTGTGGCACATTCACCAGTTCTGTTTCCCATGTATTTGAACTAATGCCCACTGTACTCAGGTATGAAAGCTCATGGATATTTTTTCAGGATCAAAACAGACCTTTCTCAGCTAATTGATACTTATTGAAGGAAGAAAACTAAGATTGGTTAGTTACTAAAAGGAATCAATTATAATAACAAAAACACCAACAATTTATAGGCAAAGTTTATTTAAAGCTGACCTTTGCCAGGCACTGGCTGAAGTCCTTTAATGTATCATCTCATGTAATCTTCTGAACCACACAAAGGGAAGTTGCTATGGGTAATGGTTTATTTTAATGATCAAACTGTGTCTTTGTGCACTTGAATTTGAAAAAATAAATTGCTAGCAAATAAGAGAGAAAA